CTCTCTCTCTCTCTCTCTCTCTCTCTCTCTCTCTCTCTCTCTCTCTCTGCTGCGGAGGCCAACAACCTATGGAGGACGTCAAGACGTAGCAGGGAAAAAGTATAGAGCCGAGTCTCGAAGGAGAAATCGTATCTAAAATTTGACCTTTACTGAACCTGATGTAACGCAAGAATCAGCAACTAGTTTCCTTTCAAAAAGTCACTTCTTATGCTCTTCGCAAAAATGTACGGCACAAGCTGGATGAAATGCTAGCTGAAACCACACTTTCAACTAGAAACAGTCGCTCAAAGTTGCAATGTCTCTTTGTTCTACGATGTTTCTCTTGTGAGAATACCAGTGTGTGAGGGTGATGCATCCCCTCCCACCGAGACAAATTATTCTGGTCAAATTCTTGGGCTCCCCTTGTGCGACAAATCTGCATCCACGACCTTTTCGGTATGAAGGGTGAACCAGCCATGGCAAGCTGATTTTTATCAGACCATTACCGCCAGAAAGCATTCATTTTCTGCATTCCTACCGGACATGAATGGTATGCTTGTGACGAGCACTGTCACATCCGCACGGTGTGCTTTACAGGACCTCACCAGGCTTGGAACCACCGGAGAGATCCATGGTAGCTTCCTGAATGCCGCTGATCGTCGCGGGGCAAGTCCAGTACTGCATGAATCGAGTGCGCGGAGCTTGCCTGCGTGCTCGGTGCAGGACCGTATGTACAGGGTACATGTTGCCACTTGCTGCCGAACCTTTGCTTCGAGTACCTCAAGTTGTACTGCTCAGCCTTCTCAGCTCCTGGTGTGGGCATCAAGTCTTCCGTGCACCGCTGCTCACTGCGTGCTGTCGCGGAATCGCATGGCGAGTAGAGAGGCTGCTGCTGATCGCCATGCTGCATGACTGGCGCATTGTGCTTCAACTCATGAAGCTCCGAGCTTGATTCCAGGTACTGCCCATCGCTAGGCTCATATTTCCATATCATGCAGTGCTTGTCACCGGACGTCAGGTGAGGCATCTGCTGGAAACTTGGTTCCGAGTCAAGATAAGGCTCAGGCTGCGGTTCCGAATTATAGCCGACTGAGTTGCTCCTTGAGCCGACGATAGGCATAGATCTAAAGCGACCATTTTGCTGCAACTCCGCAAGCCAAGCCCGGAGCTTAGGAGAGGGAATCTCCGACTGATGATGCTGTTCCTCCTCCGGTTCCGAACCAAAAATAGGTGATAGCTGCCACCCAGCTACTAGGGGGACCGGTGCTGATTCTTGCGATCGTTCCTCCTCTGAGTTCGGTGAAGACGTTGAACCCCTTGGGAGCAGCTGCCACAAGGGCAACAAGGCCTTCTCGGACAAAAACGGATATGCTCTGTGAATCTCACACTCCAGCTCGACTTGACGTTGCAATCGCTCCAAGGTCTCTTCGGCCCTTCTCTTATCTGCTTCGAACGTCGCAGCAGGATCCTTATCCCTCATGCTAATATTACCTGTCAAGGAAGCCATTGTCTCAACATCAAGCTACCTCTCCGACTATGTTTCCATCATTAGCCGGTAGTAGGTGCCATGTGTTACGCTTAACACGCAAACAATCATCGAGCATTGCTAGACAAAAATGGTATCTATTCTAATCTTAAGACCATGAGATTTATAGGCAAGCATGAGGCCTTTCGTGAAAGCGAGTTTAACGATCAGGTGTTCAACATGGAGTTTAATCATGTATATTTCAAATTAAGAGCTCTTCCATTTTGCCCAAATGCTTGGCTCTTTAATTAGTTACTTTTGTACCTATGTGTCAAATCTACAGGAGCCAATCCATTTCAAGCATTTCATGATTAAAGGCTTCCCATCGTGTACGCCATTGAAGTCGCTTAATAATCATTCCACTATGCATGTGGTGTTCGAGAGCAAAAGCGTATTTTGTAATCTCCCGATGATGATATCATTGCTTCTGCTGTTCTTATACCCTTTTTTATTTCTTTTTCGCACTCTCGATATGATGATACTAACGTGGTCAATGCAGGAGACGATGCTTTGTATACACAAGAACACGCCGCATTTCCCTTAGGTTGGTGTTTCGAATTGAGCATAAGCAGTAAGACGTAGGTTCTTTCGAACGAAATAAGATACAGCAGGCAAAGTTAATGACGAGGGGAGGAGAAGGAACTCACAGCCGAGCGGCACGAAATCCCAAAGCTTCCAGGCGTCATTTGCTTTCTCCCACTGGAACACCGGTTCCTTGTACTCGACTAATGGGTCGCCGACGGCACGAACAAAACGATTCGACGATGGTATTCTCGGCAGTGACACCCTGAACGAAACAGCAAAAGGCGGATGCCAAGAACAAGAACCAAACGACGCAACCAACCAACCACGAAGCGAGGTAGCTAGCATCAAGTAGGTAGGCAACAACAGAAGAGCGACGAGGAGAGAAGCGTTCTTGGAAGGAGACGAATCGACAGGGAGATGCATGAATTGATGGCATTACCTCGATCTTTTGTGTGGCCTCGCCTTGACCTCCGCCGAAATCCACCCGCCGGGGGGTCGCTTCCTGTTCTCCTCCAAGCTTCGTCCTCTCCTCACGCCGCTCCCTCTGTAAACCTGGTGGATTCTAGATGGAGACGCAAGGGGAAATATGAGAGGGGGAGTAGCAGCAGGAGGAGAGGCCGCCATCGATGGAGTCGGGAGCCGCTGAAACATTCGAGACAGGCGGCGGCGACGGCGACGGCGACGGCGAGGGAGGTACGTAGTAGAACACGGAACAGTTGTACGGGCCGCGATGCCGGTACTCTTCCTAACCGTCTCTTTTGCGGAGGTTGGTGGTTCCGGAGAGGATGTGGGCCGTCTTCATCAAGTCTGTGGCAGCGGTACTCCGTCGTCGATTTTTGATCGGCTACTAATAACACGCTATAATACGTGCATCAAAACAGTGCGGCATAAAAGTCTGGTGATGTTAAATGTTGAAGAAAGCTGCGTCTTATTTATTTCCTGTGGAAGATTGAGCGTCCGCATTCTGTTGCTGAATGGAACGTCCCCGCTTGACCCTCTCTTTCACGCCCATCACCACAAAGACCCTGGAATCAATCATCAGTAACCGGACCAAATAAACGTGGTTAAACTAGACAAAGGATATCAAGTGAGTGAGGATCCATGGCTCCAACCTACCCATTGTATCGATCGTGCTGCATTGCATTGCATGAATGCTCGAGTTGAAATAAAACGAATGAATTAGACGAACTTGAAGTCCTAGTATCGTCACGGTACCAGCTGCTGCTGCTACCAAATACTAGAAGACCAAAATACGCAGCGAAATAAAATGGAAACACAATCAAACAGAATATCAAGATATACGTGGAAAACCCCTTCAATGTGAAGGGTAAAAACCACGGGGCAAACTAGAGATAATCCACTATGAGAATAATGAATGTACAAATCTTAATCTCTTGCCCAAAACCCTAGCAACAACCACAAGAAAATAACTGGGATACAAGGATCACGTCACTGCCCACAATATCTAAAACCTCCCAAGTAATCACAGCAAGAGCCTACTGTAGATTTGATCTAACCTGAGATGAGAACACTGCTAGATGATTGAGAACAGTCTCTCTGCGTTGTCCTTGTCTTCTTCCCTTTCTTTCTCTTCCTTTTCTGCCTTGTTCTCCTTCTTCTCTTTGGAATCTCGTGGCAGCAAAGATCTGCCTCGTTGCTGCCTTTTTATAGCTTTAATCTGCATCTAAAACGCAGCCACCACACCCCCCTAATCTTAATTAGGGTTAGGTTAAGAGGGGGTGTGGGCTGATAAAGCCCACATGGGCTGAATATGGGCTATCAGCCCAACAACCTCCCCCTTCAGCCCATAAGGGAGGCTGTCCCATGACTCCTCAATGTGAAGCCATGCCGACCAGCTGTCGGCATATCTCCTGTCTTTCTTTTGGTAAGGTCTTCGTCAACATGTCTGCTCCGTTATCATCTGTATGAATTTTCTGAAGCTGCAACTGCTTCTCTTCAAATACATTTCGAATCCAGTAG